CCAGTTACCCCTGCTATGCGGCAACCTATACTAGTCGGTTTGTCGGTCCGGTTGCCATCTCGTAGGCGCAGAAGTGCCCTCGTTAAGAAAACAACAATGGCGTATTCGGTAAACATCTCCGTGGAAGCACCTATTGAGAATCAGATCCAAGAGATCACTTATGATGGCCAAGAAATTTATCAAGCGTGAGTACTTCCGTTTGTTACCAAATGCAGTCATTATCAAAAAACTGAGGATCAATTGAGCTAAATCTAAGCGAATCTATTGTATATGCTTTACTTAACCTTGATGTCAACATTGTGTTTACGTTTCATAATGTAACGTGTTGCAAAATAATTAAAGAAGTCGTCGTTTTTCAGGCCTCTTACGTTATCCGAGAATCTGGCAAAAATTGCGCAGAAAATTGACTTTAGTAAAACTAATGGAGATGACGTAAAAAAGGAATCGGAAAGTGGAGAAAAGGGCGAGGAAGACACGAAAGATTCAGCTTCTTTCCAGTCTTCTTTGTGGCCGTGGGACAGCGTCAGAAGTAAATTAAGGTTACAGATTGTATACTAATACTATGGTAATGTATTTTTATAAGGTTTCAAGGCTTATAATTGTGTATTCGTTCACAGAAACGCATTAACCGAAGTATGCGTGTTAGCAGATGTTCTAGCAATAGCAAAAGAGAAGCATTACATGGTTCTAGATCCAGTGTCCCAAGAGCCAGCTGAAGTGAAACCTATGATACAAGTGTATGCTAGAAAGAAAGCATTAGCAGGAGCTGCATCTGTCATTATGATGGGTGCAGACAGATTAAAAAATTGCCAGAATGAATTAGCTAGAAATAGATCAACACCAGATTTTCATATTGAACTATTGAGACTGAGGCAAAACTGGCGCCTGAAAAAAGTTTCCAATTCGATTATCGGCGATCTTAGTTATCGAACAGGTTCATAATTGTACTCTATATGTTACGAATTATTATTTATAAACTCAAATTTTAACGCTATACAAATTTACAGCTGGTTCCAAGTTTCCTCAGACGGGTATGTTTGAAGTTACAAAGGCAGAAGAGGAAGAAAAAACTAGTAGTAGTCCTCCTGCCTCTCCTAGCGCTGGAAGTACCGCATCTGTACAAGCTCATCATGCTTCAAATCCGAAAGCTTCCGCGTTGCGCGTTACTATACCTAGCGAACTGCAAGGAGTCGCATACATAGAAGTACTATGCCAGAAAGGTGAAGATACATTTATTGTACCATTTGTAATCAAATACTAAATTATATCATCTTTACAGATCAAGAGGACCTGTGTAGCGCAAATATTAGTTTGCTCAACAACAGTGCACATAGTTCCAGTGCAGACATGCATTGGCAGCAAAAGTTAGAAGCTGCACAGAATGTTCTCTTTTGCAAAGAGTTGTTCAGTCAATTGGCAAGAGAAGCTGTACATTTACGCGCGCCCATACCTCATATGGTTGTCGGTAATCAAATAATGGCGACGGTAATTTTCTTGTTCTTACGATTAATACGTCTAATATATTGTTATTATTCAAACTTTTAATAATCGCAGGTACTTCCTGGAATTCAACTAATTATAGGACTTTGTCACAGTACAGGAAATGATAAGAAACCTACTGCTCCTCCCCCTCATAAAAGCGATCACGATCACGTGTTAGAACATTCTTTGCATCAACTATTGCGCGAAGTACACCACAAAAATACTCATCATCCGTTTCCACATCCATCATCGGGACCTCTTGGGCCTAGTAAACGGAGATGCTTAGCTGGCCCAACGGCTGCCGACAGATACGAGCTATTGGAAATGACGAAAAGTCAAACGCTGCTAGAACAAATTATTCAACAAGCTCAACACTTCTTTATGAGATTGCGAACCGAGTACGTTTTAGATACGATAGCAAAAGAAGTCAAGGATCCTTTAATTGTTTCACATTGGAACACGTTGAACTCCCCCACACAATCTTGCGTGAAAATTAACATTTTAACGCACGGTTATGATAGTGTGTGTCGAACGTCGCTCGTTGTTCATGTTGGGGAGAAATCTTTAAAGTGCGTTTGTCGCGACGGTAGAGTGATGCACATGAGTTACGAACCTCAAGAACTACGCGACCTAATCTTTTGTCAGGTAATTAGAATTTTGATATTGTTTTAGTCTTTACCGAGCATTTATTGATGATTACTATATCGTTACAGATTTATCAGCATCAAATAACAGCGGTGCAACAATTAGCAAAATGTATGGGCTGGCAATTTTTAGCCAATAGTTCACATCTCGGTTTAGGTGCAGTGGAACCACTTGGTAACGCTAGCAGTTGTATTTTGGCGTCGCCAATAGGCGATAGGTATTTATTCGCATTCTCTTCGATCGTTAAAAACCAGAAACTTCTTATGAATCTAAATCAATTTGTTGGTTTAGGATGATAGCTGTTAGATGTGAACCACAAACGGGTGTGCAAGTAGCGATAGCTCATTCTCCTAGGAAAGATTTCTTCCCTGGGCAATTGGTACGGGAAAGGAAGTGGGAAAATTTAGGTGGTTCCTTCAAAGAAGTCCGGTGGGATAAGATGGAAGGGAAAAACTTTTTAAACAAAATGGAACTACTTATGGCTTCCTTAACAAGTTCCTAGACGTAATCAATAACTGACTAGGAATCCAATTGTTCCACAGGGTGAAAATTTATGATCGTACTATTAAATTTGATCTCGCATACGATACATAAAATATATTTCTTAATTGTACAATTAAACGGTGGATGAATTTGTTCCGAATAATATCTTGTCCATGATTAATTTCGTTTTCCAACTTATAATGTTATCTTAACATCTTCACCTAATAAGAGTATTTTTTTTTGCAAATGTTTCCTCTTTTTTTAATAAAATGATACTGAAATTAATTCATCCTGTGGTGTTTAATTACATAAGGATCGTTATTAAATGTACCTTTAGTTGTACAAAAATGGTCTTTATTTGAATGACATACGAAATATAATACCAATTGAGTAATAAACCATCGTGAAGTGGTAAGTGAAACAGAATGCCAAATATACAGATGTGTAATAAACACCTAAATTATGATCGTTAATTGATCTTATATATACAAAAACTAATGAACAATTCCTTACATATTATATCATCAGGTGTATATACTCTGTCTGAATAGTTTACTTTTAACTTTAAGGCGCGAACCGATTCACAAATTTACTCTTCTTTATCCAATACAACATGTACAATACATACATACGCTCATGCATTCTTACAGTATGTACATTCACACACATTTTAGACTTGTTTCTTTTGAGATACGGTGTTGTACATTTAAGGTACAACTAGATCCTGAATCAAAATATTATCTTGACTCGGTATTACAATTGTTTCGATGGGTTAAGGGACGGACTAGCAACTTGACCAAAGAATTCCATGCTAGAACGTATCAAGTTTTAATGGAGCAAACTTTCTCAGGCTATTTGTTTAAAACGAGAACGACGTTTGCACCAGACGTTTACAAGATGTGACAAACATTTACATTTCGAAGGATAAGTAATACTGATATACTTAACGGATTTTTCTATCGAGTTTGGTCAATAGTGAAAATTATTAACCCATTTGCATCCAGTGAAATATTTTGCTCGCGATGGTTGCCCTATATCATTAGCCGCGGAATAGTCTGCAAGCGTTGAGTTACCTATACCACGACATGTGGAATAATGCGCAACAACTGTAATCATTTGAAATTATGGGCGATATGGCAGTGTTGGGCAACATTTAATCAAAGTGACAATAAACTAAAATTAATTACGATTAATTCTGACGATTAAATTAGCTGAGAAGAATTAGTCAATGCCCAACTCCTGGTACATGGCCTATGACATACTTTGATTTACCGATGAAATTGAATTAAGTAACTTCTAACACATCTTGCATCTGTATTAATTTATTTTAGTCGATTGGCTCGTTTAATAATAGCAAAGAATAAAGGTATCGGGTTGCTAATTTAACATTACATAATTCGACGCATAGCGTATACTGGAGTAGCAACCAACTTTCATGGATTAATATCTAAGAAGAATATTTTGTCATGTCCATTTCTGTTAATCCCAACTACCTATCTTTTAATTTTGTCATAGACGCGTTTTTGCTCTCATTTTCTTGTAAAACAATGAGCTATACTTTGAGCTCTACCGCCCGCAACTTTAAAAGCGAGCATAGTTGTTATCATCAGAATTGTATAACCAGAAAAAGTAGTAGTTATATAAGCTTGATATACATTCATCAAGGTCATACATGATACGAACAAGTGTGAACAGATGACCCACATAACTTGTCCCCAATTTTTGTTATCCAAAGCGGCAAAGAATATGACACCCCAGAATGTATGTAATAGAATAAAGCAAAGAGTTGTTGAAGCGGATATTATAAAAAAGTATTCAGAACCCTGTCGAAGACCCATTGTTCCAGGTCCGACTGCATCCGCAAGGACATTGACTAAAGCAAAGGCACCACTCATAAAACCAAAGCCTAAACCACACACATAGGCAAATACATGTCTGCTATCTGCCACGTGTGTTGTAGTCACTTTTTCTAATCCTTTCTCTGCTTTCCGAAGTACCCAATACAAGAGGTACCTGTAAAAAAATAACAAAAATATACAAATATGTCATTTTTGCAGAATATTAACACATTCACTGCTGTACATGAAAGTCTAGTACAAGATATATTAGATCCAAAGATTGTGGTTCAAATCTACCATAGTGAATGTGTTAAAACAGGGAATAGATAACACACCAAACATGTCATATGAAAGATGGAAAGATAAAGTATGATGTTTAATTTAATCACCTGAATGCCTCCTGAAATAACACAGAGAATACCAGTCCAAATGCAAGGTGATTTTGAAGTGGTACTACGGCATACCAGAGCACCGATGACAATAATAAAGAAATAAGCCAAAAAAAAGCACTGGCTATTAGTACAATAATTCTGACAGGTTCAGCCGCAACGGTAAACGTAAACATGGCTAACGGTGGGCCAAAAGCCAAAAAGGCACAACCAAAGAAATCCATAACTGTCATTTTTAACGAGGTTAGTGCCAAATCACTTCGTGTTATTTATTATTATACCAATCAGCTTTTCATGAAGTGCTAAATGTTCATAACCCTACCAAGCCTTTGCGTGGCTTGGACAGTACTTCCTAAGGAGCACATTTATTTTTTCCACTGATAATAGAAACTTGAAAGAAGCGATAATACAATCGAAGTTAAATGAATCAGGACCGTGATGAAATCACTTGGCACTAATCCTTAGGGTCTTCCTAAAAAAAATGTAAACTTCTCGATACATGCCTCCATGGGAGCATTTCACTTAGGCAACTCAAGGCAACTCAAGACAACTGATTCCGATCCATGATTCATATTACTAGAAAACACTAGGTTTTATCAGTGAGCGGACTAAACTGAGCACTACGGTGAGCGAACAGTGGAGTAGCGGGCTACTTTGATTTCTTTAGTTACATGGTACATTTCTCTTCATTTCCTGGTACTTTTCCTCTAAATTTCCTTTTCCGATGAAAGCCTAGTGAGTAATTCGTTCAGCAGAAAATTCCCAATGATCAGTGGTTAGTTGTGTCTGCTGAATGCACCCAATGTATCGATATCAGCCAAATTCTGTAGGTGGATACGATATACATATTGTATACTTTCAATAAAATACTAATTGTACAGTTTAACTTAAATGCTACTTCTTTAATGGAACTATTCATCTTACATATTCGTGTATAATATATCACTATCATGTATTGTACTGTAATCTTCCATTATCTTTACTTTTTAATTCCGTTGACGTAATATGTTACTATAAATAAAACGTTTATGAACATTCAATAGTATTGGTCCAGAAGTAAATCAATAAAAATATCGAACACAATATACGCACTTGTATTTGATATTTGATATGAAAACACATATGTTATCTGACACGTATTGTGAAATGTATCTTGTTTAAAGGAAACGCTTCTTATATAAAAGCGGAGATTTAGAAGAAACAAACATATGTTTTACAGAATAGCCACGTTCTCTTCAATTTTTATTTTTAATTTGTTGTGCCTAGCGTAGGAAGAGAGACAGTAGCGGATTTATACTTGTCAATGCCTGCTAATGGAAACATATTTATCTTTCTATTCTTATTAGTTCTGTGCTTGATGAATTCTCGTTACTATGGATTCATGGCGGCGATTGCGACTATCTATCGGCGATACGATGATTATGGTGTATTAGATCAGTTAGCTAGTTTCTTAGACAGTGGCGCACCTAAGGGAGGTGCAAGGCAGCGATAACTGGAAACTATTGCGACATATTTAAATTTTGAAAATATAAACAAATACGAATACTCATCCTCGCGACTACTAATTTTAGCTACACAAACTATATTCCTCAAGTCTTGGTAGTAGTTCCTACCCGCACTGTGTCAGACATTGTAGTCAGCCTTCAAAACTCTTACGACTAAGCAAAAATTATCCGACACTATCTATATTTCCTATGCTGATGTTACTATATTATTTTTAGCACAAAATTCATCTTTCTTTTCTCTCTTTGCAATATATTGCATATCTAGAATCATCCGATATATTGCAATTTACACGGGAAGTTTCAAAAACCAGTTAACCCACGCACATTGAAGTATTCACGATACTAGATGGAGATACTTGATAAGACTTCGTTCGTTTAACGTGGAAAATAATTTCATTGTATAGTTGAAATCCTACTTCTCATCGAATAAATATTGTACCAGAGGCTGTTCACCTTCTGTTCGTTGTTCGAAATTTGTCGATTAGCTGAGATCCATTTCTAGTTTCTTGATAAATCCGCCCCTGATGGTGGGTTCTTTAATTGACAGTTACGTTACTGTCGACATCGATTATAGTCCTACGGAATGACCAAGCTCTCGCGCACTTTCTTTTCAGCGCAGTGTGTGTATACATTCGCTCAGCTGTTCTGGTCAGAAGTGATCGCGGCTCATCTGATTGCACAAATTTTCGAAGCTCCGGGGTTTATTTTTAGTACGAGTGCCATGTCGTTTTTGTACAATCCTCGTAAATTTTTGCTGCGTAAGAGCATGTTACACGGTTTCTAATTCGATCGATACATCAAAGTTCCTTGCTGATTGACAGACTCGCTCCACTCGTCACTCACCTCGGTTATATTTGGGAATTTGACATTAATCCGTGATCGATGCGTCCCGCAAATTGATATTAAATTACGACTGTAACAATCAAGGCTGAACCATGAAGAAGACACGCTCGAATCTGTTCCGTGACATTTATTATCTGCCGTACAATGAGTGCTCCAAGATGAAGCTTTATTCCAGCAGTAAAGGTATTTTCGAGCGATATGTTTTCAAGTGAAAATTCAATAACGACATTTGCGTAGTTTAACGCTGTAGGCTACAAAATCTTTTTCTTCCCGTTCGTATTTGAATAAAGATGAATCGTTACATAGCTAAATAACGTTCCAGTGATATAAGAAATATTTTTTGCATTGACTTTCCTAGATCTTGAGATGACCTTTCTTACTGCTCTTACGTTTAAAGTAATTAAATTCGAGTTAGATGGAAATGAAAAGATTTGCAGATTTGTCGTGCTCGTTGAACTTGTGTTTATATTGTCATTTCCACTTGACCCATTTCAGCGAGTCTTCAGATGATACAGCGTATGGCTTTATTGAAGAAATTGAAAGTGCATAACGGTTGTGTAAACTCTCTCTCTTGGAATAATACTGGTGAATTGATACTGTCTGGTAGCGATGATCTACACCTTGTACTTACCAATGCTTATGATTACAAGGTAAGTATTTTGGTCAGTGTATGTAATTGGAAGATTTGTTTGAGAAGGAAACCTGTATAAAGCATTGTTGTTCGAAGTTTACCTTTCCATGGATTTCATTAATAAAGAAACAGCAGTCCCTTGGAGTAAAATTAAATTATTATATTTATAAGCCATTTGAGAACTATTTTTTAAAACAGTATTTACTATTAGAGCAGTATTTCATTTTTTTAAATTTAATTAAATTATTTATTTAAGCTTATTATAGCTTCAACAGTTCATTTTATAAATGGACTGATTTGCTGATGCAAGTTACATTAAAGAACTTTATTATTTTGTTGTATACATTAATCTCAGGTATAGTTGTGTCTTGTAGAATTCTGTGCCAAGGTTATTTATATTTCCACCCGTGGTAAAATGTATTCAAGTGGAGTCTCATGCATTCACCTTTCTCTATTTCTTAATACATTGATGAATTTTTGTTTTACTATTTTAGTATGTATTATATATCTCTGGCAAAACTATTTTTGCACTATTACATTCCATGCAGTTGTTTCAATGCCATAGCAGCTGATAGGACAAATTTATAATGTACAAAAATGTTGGCTTTATTAAGATTGTTATTATAAATATACATTGTAGACCAAGGTTACTTCTTGCATAGAGTGATACATTTTCATGGATCTCTTATCCAAAGGGAACCTGTTATGTAAGATCATACATGGAGAATTTCTACCAAAAGGAAATATGATTGAGGAAGTTACATTGGCAATAAACCTTTTCAAGGAAATATCATAGTTAAAATAGTTAATTCTAGCCAAGGTCTAACATTGACATAGATAGAAATGCAGATCCCTGCCAAATGAACAAAATCCTTTGTATGTAATACATGTGGTGCTAATTTTGACATTTAGAGTCATCAATCTAGATCCATCTTGTTAATTATCTATCTATATAACTCTATGAAAAAAAGGATGAAAAAAAAAATTGTACATGATCACTACATTGTTATAGGTGATGACAGATTATAAAACCAGTCACAAATCAAATATATTTAGCGCAAAGTTTCTGCCTAACAGCGGAGATCATCGGATAGTTTCGTGTAGCGGCGACGGCACTATTTTGTATACAGGTGAAGACTCAATAGCTATTGATCATGTCAATAATTGCACAACCCTATTGATTTATAATAAAACATTGACGCTTGCAGATTTAATGAGGAAAACAGAAACGTTTCATAATCAATTCAATTGTCATAGTGGCACTACTTATGAGGTAGCAACACTTCCTGGTGAATCACACACCTTTCTCAGTTGTGGGGAGGATGCAACTGTAAGATTGTTTGATCTTAGAATAAAGGAGAAATGCAATGCCTTGAACTGTAGGAAGGTAAATTGTACACTGGTCACAGAAATAAATTAATCACAGAAAATTTGAGAAGTAGTGATCGTATTTTACGTACTTATAGGATGTACTAATTTCTTGTAAAAGAGCTATAACTGCCTTGTCGGTAAATCTCGCTTCGCCCTACCAACTAGCGATTGGCTGTTCCGATAGTACAGTAAGAATATTTGACCGAAGAATGCTCGGAACTCCAGCTGATGGTAATTTTACATTTCGTTTAAGTGAATAATTCGATACCTGGAAAAGATGAAAAATGCGTATAATAATTTTGTAGGGTGGCCAGATAGGAGTAGAGAGTACCTTGCCTTATGCAGATTCACAGTTCCCGAATTTGAAGGGAACTCTCATAGAATGACATCGTTAAACTACAGTCCCGATGGGCAAGACGTTCTTGTTAGTTACAGCAGCGATCATCTTTATCTGTTCAACGTAAAGGTATTAACATCTTGTCGTAAAGTCGTAATAAAATCACGCGAATCAGTTTGCAACATTAATTGTTTCGTTTAGGACCAGGGTACCGTGCAATTGAAGAAAGACGTCGCGGCAGGAAAAGGTGAAGGAAGGAAACTGAGGTTACGATCGCCTCTACCTGTACGTAGATTGAGACTTAGGGGCGATTGGTCCGATACTGGTCCAGACGCTCGACCTGAACGCGAAGGTGGTCGACGTAACGGTATAGGTGCTTTGAAATTAAATTCAAACCTTTTTTTTGAGTCGCTAATATTTTCTAAAAAAAAATACAAATTGATTCCCCCTGTTTCCTAGAAATTGCACAAGCTAGACCAGTGCTTCACACTTCGTTAATGCAGAGAATGACGGACGTTCTTAGTAGAATGTTAAACGATCCTGCCACCAGAGCTGCGTTGTGTGGTGGCGGCGAAGATAGTTTAGAAGGCGTGATCGATCACCAAGATAATACTCAAAATAGCAATGAAAACACTGCGGAAGCTAGCGAGGAAAGACGTAGCGAATCTGAAGGAGCAGAGAGAGTTCCAACCCAAAGCAACGAAGAAACAGGTAGCGGATAGCATTCTGTTTCAGAGTAAAAGATAAACAACTGTACTGTGTAACGTTACTCGTTATCTATTATGATCGTATCGCAGTAATAATAACTTAAACGTACGCAGTTGTTGCAGAACGACAAGCAGAGGGATTCGAAGGTGCATGTTCGAGCGGTACGCAAAGCGAACCCGAAGCAACTCGTTCCGCGATAGCGAAGAACCAGTTACCATCAGATCAAACGACTGACGAAAACCCGGTTGACCCCAAATTGAATGTTCCTATGAAAACTGAATCTAGTCAAACAAAAATACAAAAGTGTTCCGTGCAACCTTGTTCTTCGCGTACTCCGGATAGGTGCAACGATAATCTAGAAGAAGAGCAAAGCAGTAGCGTAGACTCCCCGTGCGCGAGTGTGGAGAATAAACAGAAAGGACACATGATGGAGAACTTAAAAGATAGACTGGCAAAGATGAAGGAAGGCGTCATCATGAGGTACGACATAGAAGAACCTGAAGAAACGAAAAGTGGAAAGTTTGTAACTCGTGGACTTATTGAGTATGTTTGCATGTTCTTTTATAGAAACGGCAGCGAACCGGGCGTGAGCTTCATTTACACGGATAAAAGTTCGACCAGCGCAACTATATGCTGTCCTACAGGTTCATCCGATAGTCGCAGTAACGCAACGTTCTCGGGCAAAAGTCATGACAAACACTTACGATATAGTGATACACAAGAAAGTGAGTAGATATGGCGTGTAAATTGATGCGTTTTTAAGAAGATTAGAAATCATGCGTTATCTTTTCGACAGAGACTGATGAAAGCGCTTTTACCGATAGTGACGACGACGATATAGACCTTAGAGAAAGGTATTCTAGGTAACGTATACGAGTTTTGAAGAGGATCCATATTTAAAGACTAACAAACTAAAAATATAAATTATTATTATCTTTTTATCTAGATTCAGAAGTCGAGTTGTAGAAAAACTGGACGAAGCTATCGATCATGACGAATCGTCTCAAGGGTCCACAAGCTCCGATAAGGCATACGTAACGAAACTTCGCGTGAAACAAAAGTACATGGGACATCGCAACGCTAGGTATATTATCACTTATTTTCTGTCATCGTGGTGACTGTAACGATAACTTGTTCGTTCAACGCAATTCTCGCGTTAATTGTTTCGAATCATTGAGAAGGCTATAAGCGATTCTAAACGAAGGTGTACATGACTTAGTCTTGTGACTAAAAGATTAACAATGTAATCAAACCACGTGTTATTGGATGAGATTAAGTAACGAAACGTTGTAGGAGACTTTAGTTGATAGACCAAATCTGTTTAGCGAGTTTGGTACCTCGAGAGAAACCTTGTCACGTAATAATGTTAACCAAGGTTGTTTTTCATTGCGTTCGACGTGTATGTACGTTTGAATCAATCGGAAAGCCAGACTATTGACTCTCAAAGTTCCGAAAAAGCCTTCGAGCGGACTGGGCCATTTCTCAGGGGGCCGTCCATATTTTATCTGATCGGTTGGCCTTCCCCCCCC